AAAGATGGTAGAATTTGATGATAGACACAATGGTGTAAGGGTTGCATCAGAAAACAAAGCAGCCAAACCAGACAGAGATGCTAGCAGCCTTAGATGACTTTGGCATATACAAGATTACAGAAATAATAAATGAAGTCTACAACAGTGATATACTGGAAGACCTAAGAAGATCTATTTTCATAGGTCTGCCTAAGAAACCAGGTGCAAAACATGGGAACTCCATCAAACAATCAACCTAATGAGCCACATAACAAAACTCATCATCCGAATTCTGAGGAATAGAGCATAATCAGTGCAGAAATAGGACAAGAACAAAGAAACCGGGACAAGAAACAATATTTATGCTCAGAATGTTATCAGAAAGAGTAATATAAATACAGAAGGACGTGTACCTGTGTTTTATAAATTACACAAAGTCATTTGATAAAGTACGCCACAAAGATCTGTTGCAACATTTACATATTTGAGAAGGATAGAAAATAATCAAGAACCAATACCGGCAGCAAACTGCCTGCATACAGATAGAAAATGAGTTCAGCAGATACACAAAAACAGAAAAGGGTGTAAGACAAGGATGTGTCTTCTTGCCGGATTTATTCAACCTATACAGTGGGGCCATTTTGAGAAACTTAGATGTCCTACCAGGATTCATTATTGGTGGCCACAATCTTAACAAGGTATATAGATGACACTGTATTAATAGCAGACATGGAAAGAAAACTACAAAAACTCCTACAGAATGTAGTGAAGGAAATCAAGAAGAAAGAACTAAACATCAAGTGCAAGACGACAGAATGAATGGTTGTTAGCAAAAGGAAGAGCTCAAAATACAAATCGAAGATCCAAAAATCAAATAAGTACAATGATTTAAATATCTAGGAAGTGTTTTAACAGAGGACAGAAAATTTGACACTGAAATCCAAAGACACATTGGGATGTCCAAAGATACATTCCAAAAGCTAAAACAGAATATTAAGAAACAGGAAAACTTTGTTAGAAATGAAGAAAAGAGTACTGAAATGTTACATGATATCAGTCCTCTTGTATGGCAGTAAATGGTGGATAATCACTTCAAAGATGAAGAGACTTGAAGCAACAGAATTGTGGTTGTACAGAAAGATGTTGAGGGTAGCATGGACAGAAAATGTGATCAATGATAAAGTTTTAGAAAAAAATGAAAAAAAGGTAACCTGTACTTAACATCAGAAAAAGGCAGCTGAAATTTCTAGGACACATAATGATGAAAGAGGGTTTAGGAAAATTTGATACTCACAGGACAGGAAAAAAAAACACACATAGTGAAAGGATGGTGGGATAGGGTTTGAGAGAAATAACAAAAATGACAAAATTTATTAAGAGCATAGTGGTGATGATTTTAAAAAATAATGGTGGTAGTAGTAGTAGTAGTAGTAGTAGTAGTGTGTGTGTGTGTACACACACACACACTGGAAATTAACATTAGCTTTAACCTGGCACAAAATAAAAGTAAAGAGAAGCTAGGAATAGTGTTGTGCTGCTCCAATCTTTGAAGTTTGAAAAACACCCTGTGAGAGTCAAACTTACAATGTCAACTTGCTAACCGGTTTCACACTGCTAGGCAACTATCACTTGTTATTTGAAAGGTTGCAGCAAAGAGTAATGGTAAACGTTCAAGCCTTGAGAGAAATACTATCTCAAAGAGCAAACCCTGCTACAAAATTGTTTGATGAATTCTTCTCGGCTCAAAAGCAACATTAATTCACTTAAATATCTAATTATTTTAGACTTTTCTCAATGGGATCTAAGGCACTTATCTATAGTATTTTCCATACAGCAATCACCAGTTTAGAAGGAATTAAAAAAGGAAGAAATAATCAGTATTTTGGTATACTGATTGATCTGAGATCAGGCAAGAGCATTAAGCCATTTCTCCACATCAATTTCATACTTGTGAAATCTGCAACATTCACAAAAATTTTCCTTAATTTTTTTTCTCTTTATCTTGTGGTTTAGGTTGATTTTAACTCATCTGAATTATTGTGGCAATGCATTCTGAAAATAACACCCATGCAAAATATGTAATAACATAATTGCTATAATTATAGTTGTATGTTGAACGAAGGTCACTTATCCCCAACTACAATTTCAACAAAATACTGCAATAAAAGCACAGAAACTACCATACATACATTGGATCTTGAATATTTGGGAACTCAACTAATGGTTTGAAATGTGAAAAGTTCTAAATTTTATAGAGTGGATAAATGTGTATCCTAGTATACATATAAAAATGACGATTACTTTTACATTTACCAATTCCTTCGTATTTAAAGAGCAAATATTTTGTATTAAGCCAAGGTATTTTAGATAACATTTTATTTATTTTTTTTTTTCCTTCACAATCTCAAGCTGAAATTATCTGCTTTTCATATCTCAGAACTATATCTTGATTAATCAGCTCATCTTTCAATTATTTTCTGGATTGCCTTGGGGTTTCCTTTTATCCAAATAGGAATTGAGTTTGTGGGGGGTGGGGGGATAGAATAGAAAAAAATAAAAAATAACTGTTTCTTGTCTTAAAAACACACACACACATACTGAAGACATTTTTTTTTTTTTAAATTCACTCAATACATACAAAATATTCTTAACTCTGAATTAAAAGAATTTTGGCAACATCAATAACCTCAGGCTTCAACTCTTATCCCAAAAGATTTTTTTTTTAAGACTTGGTCATGCATTTTGTTCTTTTTTTTCTTTCTACTTTCTTCTCATCTATGTGAAACCATAATATTTTTTGTTTGTTTCAAAGAGAATTTTTGTTTTTTGGGGGAAGTGGGGTCTGACCTTACAGCACAATATTGTATGCCTGTAAAATAGAGTAATTTAAAAAAAAAATGAATAAAATTTGCTACTTGAACTTTACCACCTTTTCATCTCAGACTTATTTTGTGGCTGAATTATTTTATTCGTTATTTTTTAACGCCATCCTCTTCTCAAGGAGATGCACAAAGAATTCAAACTCTTTAAATCGGTTAACTGACTTTACCAACCTGAATCTAGAATTTTCAAAAGAAAGCACTATTGACTGAAAAAGTTTAAGATTAAAGAAAAATTTATACACACATAAAGGAAGTGCTGAAAAGCTCTCTGCCCAACCATGACAGGATTATAGAAAAAAAAAAAAGATTTAGTTATTTGAACAGATTTTGTTAAGTGGATCAGGTTGAAAACTTTGCCACCCACTTGTATGTGTATGTAATTTTAACAAAAATATTGATAAGAGTTTCAGTAAAAAATAGTATTTAATAATTTACACTTTAGGAAGTGATTTAAAAAGTGATTTCTATGTATGTAAAGACTACAAAAGATTTAATGTTGCTATTTACATCTATAGCAAAAATAAAAAAAAAAATAGACTTTTTTAATTGAAACTAATTCATTTGTTTAAATATTGTAGCTATTGATTTTCTTAAGATATATGATTTGAAGAGTTTTATGATGGAAATATTCAATAATTTAACATTTAATTTTACTGGAAAATACTGCTTCATGGCTATTATATTTGGGCCACAAATAATGATAGAAAGTGGAGAGAAAATATGGCTCCTGAAAATATCACTACTGGTAAATTATTTATGAAGAATTGACAAAGATGTCTCTGTAGCACAATGTGAAGAAAGCAGCAATAGAAGTAAAATTAGAGCTTTTGCATCCAAAAGTGTGACATTTTGAAAGTTTGTTTAGGAGTTTCAAAAGAAAAATAAAGATTTCATTTAGCTTAAATTAGTTCCTTTTATACAGGAAAAGAAATTATCACTGCTTTCTGTAAGAAACTGGCGAAAGAATTCACTGATAAATTGTTTTAAATAGACAGTCAATCAAATATTTATTTACAACTTGCTAGCTCCTAAAAAATAAAAATATAAATTTTTAAAACTTAAATTTATTAAAAAAAAAAAAATAAAGTCTAAATATTTGTTGTGGTTATTTTTCCATTTGCTTTCAGGGTAACAAGGAATTATAGCATTTGGAAATTCTCCAATAGACCAGGCAGAAGCACACCACCAGGAATGGAATAAAACCTATTATACAATAATTGATGTTTGCCCAAACAAACTTCAGCAGAATTTTACAAATTATCTTTATATTACTCAAGCTTCTGAAGTGTTTTGGTTTTAGAAAAATAAATAAGCATAGGTTTTCAATTATTAAAACATTACAAATAACCAATTATAATTTGGCATGGCTTTTTGTTTCTTTCTTCAACAAAACCTTTCTTTAATGTTTAAATGTGATTCAATCTTTCTAACTTTTCATTTGTGAATAACCATGTGGAAATTAAAGTTTGGGCAAAAAAAAAAAAAAAAAAAAAGTATTTTCAAGAAAAATCAGATGTGTACACATATAAAGTATCTTATTAACACACAAAATGTCAAGACTGTTTCTTCTCACACTCTGCAACTCTTGTACACATAAATCTAACAAACAAATATGCCAAACTGATTAAAAGAGATAAATAAAAAACAATGTCCAAATACAAACTCCTGAAACAAAATCTGAACAGTTCTATAAAAAACATAAAAAGAAATAACAACCAAAACAGTAAGAGCAATTTCTTAAATATTTCTTTCTTTCCAAAGGGGGTCAGGGTTGCAGATGTCAAGAAATCGACAACATTGGGGGATCTTTGGGTGTTTGTTTGTGTTGGTTATTCTTTAATTTGTACAAAAAAAAAAAAATAATATTGCAGAATAATAATGTACATAGACAATGTCAGTTTGACATTTTTTTTTTCTGTTAAATCCTAAATATTTTCATTTCTGTTTCCCTCCAACAGCAACAGACAAAAAAAAGAAAATGGCCAGACTATAGCACTGAAGTCACTAGAGGAGTCTATTTAGATCTAAATGAAGACTCATTTTTGTGGCCATTTTTCTGAGTAACTTTAAGGAGAGGAAAAAGGTGGACATCAACTGAAAAAAAAAAAAAGATAAGGGGAGAGAGAAGTGAGGAAGATATCAAGGTGGAGGGAGAGATAGAAAATAAGAGGTAGAGAAAAGATGTCTTGAATGAGAGTAGGGAAGAGAAAGAGCAAATAGAAGAATGACTGGAGAGGTAAAAGAGGAGAGTGGAAATGCAGATAGAGAGAAAAAGTGAGGATGATATGGAAGAGAAATCAAAAGTCTGCTATATTGCTTGTTTGGTTACCAGAAAATTTGGGTAAGTTCACAATTTATTATTCAGATTATATTTTTGTGGGCTTTGTTGTGTAATCCAGTGGAAAGAAGCTGCACATGACTTTTGCTTTGTATCTTTATTCACTCTCGCTCTCTGCGCCGTCTCTCATTGACGAGTTGGGATCCTCACGACCAGATGCACGACCTGAAACAAGTACAAAACAAATATCCATTGCCAAATGATGATTGAAACTTTTTTTTTTTTTAAAGCATTTCACCCCAAGCAAGGTGGGAGTGCCACTAGCACACAAGGGGTTACAGAGAGTGGGAGCAAGAGGAAAGGGTGAAGAGAATGATGGGGTATTAGATCAAGGCATGTTGATTGACATTGCATTTGAATAATTGAAGATTATAGCTATCAGGGAAGCAAGTAATAGGAAGGGAGTTCCACACATGGGAAGTGTGAGACATGAAGCTATTGGAGTAGAAGAGATGGCTACATTTAACAGTTTCAACAGTGAAAGGGTGGGAATGAGATGCCAACCTAGTAGCACGTTTAAATTCATGCAGTTTGGGAACCAGCAAAAGTAACTGGTCTCTGGATTTTGTCGAGGACCTTGATACAAACAGTGGAGGCTCCAGACCACATATGGCAGCAGTATTTCATGCAAGGGAGATAAAAATTTACTATCTTTAATGCATCAGCACATACTTGCATATTTAATGATGCCACAGAAAAATTTAATTCATGAGTCATAAGTTATATAATATCACTAGTGAAATACAGTGACTTAATCTAATCACTGCAAAAAAGAGAATGTTTTTAGATTAATGAAACAAATGAATAGAGGAAAGAAAAAAAAAAAAAAAAAAAAACAATTATGATTCCCATTTAGAAATATTTTTGAATTTAAAACAAAAACATTAATGAAAGATTCCCCATTAAACTTGTAGAGGTTTTTGACCACAACATAAAAAATTTATTAAATCAATGCTACTTTTTAAATCTTATTTAATTTACATTCAATCTATATATAAAATTTTATGACTTCTGTTAGTCTGTCCATCTATTACACCCTCTAAAATAGCCAAATTTTGGAGAGAAGTGCAAACATGTGAGGGAGTGAAAAGTACAGTTGTTTTTACTAGATAATAATAATAATAATTTGGTGACATAGTAAGTGTGAGTTCAATTCCTGGACTGGGCAGTGTGTATTTGAACTCAGTGGTAACTGGGCGGGCAATAATTGAGCAGTACTAAAAATAAGAACTAGACGAGATATCACTAGTCATGGTTAGTGGACTGAAAACAATCTACATCCATAGATTAAATAAAGGGTTCAGTTCTATAGGTTATGCAGGGCAATATACACCTGATGAAGGTCAGAGTGCACAACGGCTGAACCATTGTGATAACAACAACAAAGATGGAAACAATAGTTTGCATATAAATAATGTAAATAATAGCATTAATTTATTATTATGATGCTATATATTTGTTATGCTGGTGGATTTGTCTTTAACTCAGAATCAAAATGATTTAATTTCTTTGATTTTTTTTCCTTTCAGAATTCTGGCATCCAATGAAATAATGATCATTCAACAAGGAGCATTTAAAGATATGTATCGATTGCAATATCTGTAAGTGTGATTAATTCATATCTGTCTTTTGTTTGCTTGTTTTGTACTTTGTTTTTGGAGGTGATTGCATGTTTCTATAATGACTGTGACAACTCATCAAAAATTAAGTCAGAAATAACCATTTTGCTTTCATTCAATCATAAGCATCCAGAAATTACTTTTCAGTAGCAAACAAAATCTTGCAATAAAATAACAAAATATATTTTCTGATCAATCAAAATTGTTCTTTAAAAAAATGGTATGATGGATTAGTAGTAAAAGCATTGGGCAGTGATTAAAAAACCTGAAGACATCTGCAATATATTTAGAGATTCTTGATAAAATCCAAAGAAAAAGAATCTGCAATGATATTGGTCCTAACTTAGCATCTCGACTTTAGTTACTTTCCAATCACCATAACATAGCTTCCCTCTGTCTTTTCTATAAATATTTTCATGGTAACTGTTCTGAGGAACTTTCCTCTAAGGTAACACTATTTTGTTTAGTTTCTTGTAAATAGTCATTTATACATTGTAAATACACATTGTAGTTACATTTTAAATTGATATTTATATAAACAAATTGTACATATGGGGACTAATTAGGACCTTATAGAGAACTCTAATGTACTGTGGTGGCTATGGTAAGAATGTGTCGTTTTGGCGTAAGGAATAGTGTAGTATGTTTGGGTCAGTGATTGTGGCTAGCTAAGCTTCATTATAAGACAAATGAAGATCACCCTTCCCCATCCCCTTTCTGGCTTTGTATCACATTTTTTGTATTCAATGAAAATAGGTATTACTTTCCTATATGGTACCAAGACTTTATGAATTTAAGTGCAGTACTAAATTGGCAGCTAGGTCTCATCATTTCACAGCTGAAATAGCTAGATGTAAACATAAGTTCTATGCTAACAGGTTTTTCTATAGCTGTTGTGGAGTGATTTCGCAGTGGAGGCTTGTATTTGTACTAAGTCGGTCCTAAAATAGGTTCGACGTACAAAACGTTAGGAACTTGATATAATAGGTATTACGCAGAGTAATCTTGCTGTGGTCGCTGATATTTTTGTATTCGAATAACTGTCGTCTGACATCGACTGACCGCCGTTTCTATTACTACTCCTACTTATATTAGGTGGGAGAGTCTATTGACTATGGAATAGGTGTGTTTCACCATAACACCTCTCTCATAAAACTTTACTCTGAAGGAGTAAACAGTTTTATTTATTTATTTTTTACAGGAAATATGAAGAAAAAACAACAAAAAAAACTTCATTTTTTTTAGCAACATCGTAGCGTATCTCCTATGTTTCGGAATCCCTTTTAAATGATCAGTTGCCTTTCTTTTTCTCCTGGATCGGTGTACCTCAGGTAAAATTGTTGCAGGCATTGTTAGATCAAACGTATCGAAAATCACCTCCATCTGCGTTTCTTCCGCGGGACCGCTGTCAACCATGTCTGAAGAACGTCATCTGATCTGGTTACTGCACATGAATTTTTCGCTTTCACCAAGTACATCATATTGCCAATCCGCATTTCTATTTTTTGGTACCTCCATAGTGTTACCAGAAACAACCTTCCGCTTTGACCTTCTTAAGGATGGGGGTCACAGTTTCTGTAGGTTCTATTTGTTCAGCCTCTAGCTTCCCTTGTGTTGATCTTGTGCTTCTTAACGTTTTCTGTGGTGACTTCAGTTGACTTAAATCATTTAATAATACTGCATGTCCTTGGCTGCAAGTAACTCGCTCCCCAGTTTTTCTCGGTGTCGGCTTCATCTTTACTTTCTAGGGCTTTTTTTTCACGTATACTGTTGGTGTGGCCCATTCACTATACTCAACTATTTTTAAGTACACTGGTTTTCTTTAATCTGTCCAATTCTTTATCTGTTCAATTGAGGCAAACAGCACATTCCTTTTCTTTTTGAATAACGCCTGAGCGTTTTCTTTTAGCTGAAATTTTGCCTCCATCTTGGTACACGTTCCCAACCCTGGAGAAAAAACAGTAGGAAATGTTTCCTTAAGTTTCTTTACTAATTTTTGGGCTTCGGTGTCTAAACTTTCTACCTTTTTATTGGTAGATTCCATAATTGGAATTCTGTTATCCAATTCGTACCCACTAAGTTTGTGGTATTTTCTATGACAAATAGTTTAGCTTTTCGCGTTTTTTATTTAACGTGAGGTTTGTAACCAATTCCCCAATAAATTGTATTTTTTCTCCCATCACTGACCTCGCGATTTTCTTTGTCTTCATTAAAGTTGGTTTCCCCAACTTCTTCCACGTATGCAAATTTATGATAGATAGGTCGGAACCAGTGTCAAGTTGCATTTTTATATTTTTATTACTTATTTCAACGGTAACAAATTTTCTGGTTATTCCATCTTTTACCTCGTTAGACTTTAATTTTCTTATTTTATTGTCTTTATTTTTTGACCTGCAGTGCGAGCTTTTATGACCCTCTCTTTTACAGTTGAAACATTTTTTATTCCTAAATCGCAATATCTGTACCAATGTAGTTCACCGCAAGCAAAACATAGCTTCGGGAGTTTTTTGTTTATTTTTCTCTGGTATTTCACTTTTTGTTTGATAATCCGCAATTTTAGAGTTCTTTTTGGTAGACTGACTTTCTTCTTTGTAGTGTATTTTCCTTACATACATAAAACGACAGACTGTTCTATCTTTTTGAATCTCTCTTTATGCTAACATATCTTGTGCAGTCTTCTGCCAACTTCTGTATCATAATACTTGGATCGCTTTCCAATTTTTCTCAACTCTGCGTCTCTTTCTGATACCAGCCCCTGAACAAACACCAAGCACTTAAAATTGTCTGCACTTAACTCTGCCAGCTTGAATTCTTCACAATGCTTATTCACATTGGCTGCATACGTTATATAGTCTTGTTCGTCATCTTTCATCAGATTCAAACATTTCCACCTCTTGTGAAACAGAGATGTCTTTTTACTAAATAATTCTTAATATATTTACTGCCTCGGTAAATGTCAACTCGCTAGTTTTTTTTTTTCGGTAAAATATAGTTTACCAATTTGTTATGCTCAGCAGTTCCTAATTTGCTTAAAAGAAGCCTAACCTTCTTTCCTTCAGACCACGCAGTGGCAGTCCTCATTATACACGTCCATATATTTTTTATAATACTCCTCAAAAGTTATCTCTTCATCTGGACTCTACGTGAATATTTCAATTGAATTCCATATTGTATTCACTGGGAAAGAATCATTTTGTAGATTTTTCTCTTTCCTCTTCTAAGTTATTTCCAGAATTTTGTTTTGAAACTCCCTATGCATCTGTTCCATTTTTTGTTGGAATTGCATTTGTCTATTGAAAGTTTCCTCCTGTAGCTGCATCTGGAATGTCATCTGTTGTTCCGACTGGAACTTAAAGAATTCCCGGAATATATTTTTGCATTCCTCCATCTTCGCAAAAAGTTTACACAATGCCTAAATACTGTAGAGGGGGGATTCCTATGAATTTGCAATTCGTGGCCTATTTGAGCAAACTGTATTATCGGGGAGAAAAAAAAATATTTCTTTTCTCAGTTGAGAATATGACAGATTTTTTCATCAGTAAGTTGACGTCTTGGCTTGCAAAAAACTTTTGCAAGTTTTTTTTTTTTAAAGTGTGAATCCGAGACTTTATCGCCAAAGTTATGTGGCAAGCAAATTTTTTCTTCCTCTGTATGAGTACGAATTTCGTCGCCAAAAATTGTTATGGTGAGCGAATATTTTTTCTTCCACCGTATGAGTTTGAACCCCTCATCACCAAATATTATGGCGAGCAAATTTTTTTTTTTTTTTTTTTTTTTTCACCATATGAGTTCAAATCCCTCATCGCCAAAAATTGTTGTGGAGTGATTTCGCAGTGGAGGCTTGTATTTGTGCTAAATCAGTCCTAAAATAGGTTCGACGTACAAAACGTTAGGAACTTGATATTATAGGTATTACGCAGAGTAATCTTGTTGTGGTCGCTGATATTTTCGTATTCAACTAACTGTTGACTGACCGTTGTTTCTATTACTACTCTTACTTATATTAGGTGGAAGAGTCTATTAACTATAGAATAGGTGTGTTTCACCATAACTTACCAGAACGGATTTGGTTGAGGGAGGCCAGAACCCTGAGCATGAAGGCTGCTGGTACAGTGATTGTGTCACGGGTTTCATCCAGCATGATTTCATTTCGATGCATAATCTGCAAAGGGTTTAAAAAAGTCATTTTCTTGCTTTAAATTTCAAATCTGGATTAGTCTTTATTGCAACAAATCTGGCACAACAGTTAACATACAAAGAAGAATGTCCAAGATGAAGACGTTATTTCAATTGTAACCATATTCTTCTCTTGAAAGCCCAAGATATTGAGAGTCAATATTGATCAACTACATCTGACTCAGATTTACAACTTTGTGAGGTGTTCAGTATTGCAAGGAATTGATGTTTACAGTTTGCATTCTTTTTAGTGAAATGTATGTAAAATTCAGGGAGATAAAAAAAAAAAAACAATGAAAATATTAGAGTTGATATTATTTGTTCATTGCTATGTAATTCAAAACAAAGGTAATTGATGCAAACAATGAAAATCCACAGTTTAGCAATAAATGAAGATAATGTGAATTCAAAGTGAAATAAAGAAATAAGAAGCTAAGCAAACCTCTTCAGCTTTACGCTCATCAAAGTTTGGATGTTCTTCAAGAGGTTGCCACACTTTAATGTCATAGTCGATTCCACTGGAAGCCAAGACTACAAAAGGTAAAAACAAAAAATCATTTACAAATTATGGGAAAATTAATCTTAAATTTTTTAATATTATATTAATTACATAAAAACAAAAAATGTATTAGTTACATTCTCTGCACAAGTAATCTAAGATTTTTATCTATACACTTAATCAGGCGAAGTCAACTAGAGCCTTATAAACATGAGTGAGTTGGATCTAATGATGGTTTCTCCTGGAAAGGGGAATGCAGGTTCAAATCCTGCTGGAGAACGCATATTTTTTTTTAGTAACAATTCTTCAAATATTCAAACCAGTAGACAAAAATAAATAAATATACTGCTTAAGAAACGGAGTGTCTACTCAAGTATGGGTATCCACTAAAAATAACATTTAAGGGATAAAATTCAGCAGGATTTGCGCCTACATCTCCCTTTGCAGGAGAAACCATCGTTAGATTTGGCATGCTCTAGACTGACTCGCTGTTTATAAGGCACTATTTAACTTTTCCCAATTGGCAACACATACCATGGCCAAATGTGTGTGTGTGTGTGTGTGTGTGTGTGTGTATCTTTAAATTTAAAATTCCCAGCATTGCTTGTTTATGTGCATATGTAGTCATATCAATATAAATATAAACATAGTCTGATGAAGTCCTAAAGGACAAAGCACATCACACAAAAATATTTTCCCACTTTGTCATACAGCTTTCCCCTAATAACACATATATATATATATATATATATATATATATATATATATATATCCTAAGAAAGTTAACATGGAACAAAGGAATAAAAATTAATGTATTAGCAACCTGATCTCCCCTACTTATTCAGAAGAATTAATTATGGTAACATGAGGCTTGTTTTTTTTTTAGTGATATTGAGTAATGCTTCCCGTTAGCAATGAAATATTTTATGAATAAGATGGTATATCAGACTGACATATGTATAAAGTCACAGAAAAAATAATTTAAAAAGTTGAATATTTTAGCATCCAATTCTTTTTCCCTGTTCTAAACCTTATTGTCTTATCTAATATTTAAAAAAAAAAAACAAATAATTAAAAGTGACAATGACTTTCAACTGCTCCATACTATATTTTCATGTTCATTTAAATTAAGGTCATTAATTAAGACAACAAACAAAATAATATTAACAAATAATTTATATTTAGATATTTTGAGAAATCACTTAAAGCCTAACATTAGAACTGTAAATTTACTAATCCAATGTTACATGAGTGTCTACATCAGGGTATATTTCAATTTGATTTTTTATCAGGGATGAAGTTAAATAAATTTCTTCAGAGCAAATTGGATCATTTAGGAGAATAATAGAGAAGATAAGTAAAACAAAACTTACTCGGATAGAATGGATGAGGTTGAAGGCAGTTAACAACATGTCGGTCAGCCTCCAATAGCATCACCAAGCGGCCAGTGAAACGATCCCAGAAAAAAATATGGCCACAATCAGAACCACTCATTACAAAATTATCACTCCAGAAATTGGCTTCTTTTATCTGTTAAAGAAAAGTTAAGCAAAAATTAATTGTTCTGATTTAATCAATCAATCTAAATTAAATATTGACAGATCAAATCACGGTCTTTAATTTACAGTAGGGACAGAGGGGCAACATTTTTTGAAAATTACTCCCATGCCTAAGGAAAGTTTACAACAAAATAATATATATTTATTATTAGTATAAATTTTAGCTCAATTATTATATACATTAAGCAGTGTTTTATTACCACCAGCATTCACTGTATCCTCTCTCTCTCTCTATATATATATATATATATATATATATATATATATATATATATATATATATATATAATTATAACATCACTACAAAAATTGCAGTTTTGTTTCAACACTTCAAAAACCAACCAAACCCCCTCAGTAGAGGAAATATTCTTACATAACCTATGATGACCAATCAGAATACAAGTATATGGTAATTCAAAATAACGTAACAACATACCTTAAGTACAATCTATTAGTGCATTTAAGTTAAGATTAGATTAAATTAGAAATCAATATAATCCTCATATTTGTTGCCATATTTATCACAGTGTTTTGGCCATTGTACACTTCTTCAGGTGGTTGGAATGTTGAACTGAACCCTTTATTTCGATTGCTGGGGTAGACTGTTCTAGTTCCACGTGCCATGTCTAATCAGTTAATTCCTCCTCTCCAAGTTCTCCCCCGCCTTTATCCACTGTGCCATGTGTCCTTGAGGACACATGGCACAGTGGATAAAAGTGTTAGTTAGATCCAGTGACAGGACCCAATCTGAGTCTGAGTTCAATACCTGGTTAAGGCAGAAACAAAATCACAAACAACAAAATAATGGAAACAAAATCACAAAAGTATGAACAATATTCAAATTGTTACAAAAGGCACTGAAATATTCTAATCAGTAAAATTCAATCATTAAAATTAATTTCAGATTATTTAAAAAATTTTTAACAAATACTCTAAGCTAAGGATAAGAATGGTAAAGTAATATTTTTTCATTAGTTATTTAGCTAAATTTTAAAAAATATAGAAAACAACAAAGTTAAATTGTAAATGAGTAAAGATGTGTCATAATGTCTCACCATTGTTCTTGCATTCCGATGACCTTTGAACTTTGTTTTTATAGTTGCTTGGAAGACACGGTTCATGGCTTCTTGTTCTTCTTTAAGACGTTCTTCCTTTTGTCGTCGATAATATTCTTGCAGTCTGGATTTAGCCACATTCCGCTTTGCTTCCCTGCTTGTATTGCCATCCCTGATTTAAGGGTTCAAAGTTAAAGTAGGGAGAGGAAGAAAAGATTTGGTTCAAATGAATTGTCTTATGTGACTCTACCAAAAGTAAATTCAATAGAAAAACAAAATATAATTAAATACATACATCTTTAAGTAAACAATTGACAGCAAAACATTTGAGCATTTACTATTAAAATCTTTTTTAAAAAGAACCTATGTAACTATTAAATACACATCCCAATAACATTGCAAATCCAACATGGTGTAATTTTCATGATTCATCTCAAATTATCTAATTGATTAAAATATGATAAAATGCCTCTTCCTTATAAGTCACGTATTCATGATTTTGTTTTAATATAAAAGGCAATTCTTAACATGCTCTAGTTACCTCCCTTGAGAAATGCCAACAGCAATTCATCGAGATCTGGTGAACCAACCTTATTCTGATTGGCACTTCACTTTGAACAGTTTCAGAAGTGCTACTTGCTCCACTGAAGGAGGTTTCCTATTGATAGATTAAAGAACTCCATGGTAGTAATTACTTTCTCCAATTGGGGGCCATCAGAAAGGGCTATGTAGATTCCAACAGGTAATAATAACTGACAACTTAACACAATAAAGTCTTCTGTAAACCTTTCAGTCATACTTGTGCACACATTTTTTCAATACACACTCACATTTGAGATATATGAACTATAAGAAAAAAAATTAGACTATTTAGATAATATTTTCATTGTTACACAAACTATTTAAATGAGTATCCTTAAATCAGTTCTTTGTAATATTTTGGCAAATTTTCTGCCTCCCTACAACATCCAGTAATTTTTGACCATCATTTGGAGAGGCGGGGGTTATTTATACCTCTGACAAAATATTTTGAACCAAGAATATCACCATTAAAGCCTACAGTCTGACTTAAATGGTACTTTCAAGTTCTAGACTTGTGAGGAGGATTTTGGAACAGATGAATCATGTTTATTTCTATCATGAAAACAAGAATATCTTTTCTAGAAGGTGTCCCTAAAATCAAGACACATAGGATCTATTTGTTTTTTATTTTTTAACTTCACAGATTAAACATGGTTTTGTTGAAAAAAAGAAAGAAAGACATGTCTTCTTTTTCTGGGGGGTATGCTAATGGATAAAGTGTACTCAATGAAAATCTCAAATGCAACACACTCGATTGAACACATAAAGAGTGAATGTACTAAAATTGACAGCAATGTGGAGTTATTGCATAGAGTTTATGTGAATCTTGCAAAGCGCATCAACCTTTGCATCACAAATGATGGAAATCACATTGAAGATGTTATTTGTTAATAATTCATTTCAATAAAATGTTGTAGAAAATTTCATTTCTTGAAAATCTGCATTTTTGTTTATGTGCCCAGACTTTAGGGACACACCCTGTAGATATCTTGGTATCTCAAGTGGAGTCTGGGTTTAAGATATCAAACATACTAAATTAAACTTAAATTGAGTCAAGTCATCCTTTGTATTAAAGAATTGCCAGCAGCATTATATCAACTGAATCTATATTCAGATGTCCTAAAGAAATTAGCTGACAATCACTTTTAAGTTTAAGATTTTACTAATAAATAGACATATACCCAGAAAATGTCAAGCATAAGGCAATGCTAACCATTTATCTTACATAATAGCAGAAATCAAAATAACTTAGAGAATCAATAACTGGTATATCATCAGTCTTTTTCAATAACAAAGTTAATGTTCAATCACCATATAAAAATGTTCACATGACTAAAACTGATATATGCAAAATTCCATGCAATCATGGCACAGTGGGCAGCCAAGTGGACATAGGGATTTTTCCCAACTTTTACAAAATGATTTGTGATCTAAAAATTTGGAAAGTTAATTCTCTGGGGTATCCAGAAATGGTCTCATTTATCTTCTTAACTTCAAATATATGGCCATTTGAAGTTTGTGAATTCCAGATTTTAATGTGAAAGGATTTTATGTTCTGACCCTTTGGAAAATTATGGCCTAAGTAAAGATTTGGCCAGTAATTTGCTAAAATGTCCCCATACCTCCATTTGAAGTCTACAGACACACAAGATTGAAATATCTATATGGATTAGAGTCATTTCTTCTAGGTTTTAGCAATTTTTGCAGAAATTAGACCGAAAAATGCACATTTTTGCCCAAAAATTTGGTCCAAATTTGGGTCTGGAGGTTTACATTTAAGGAATGATTGCAAAAAAGCCCCAAGATTAATTTTTTTAAGGTTCAAAATTTAAAATTGTGAGTTGGCTTTCTGAAAAGGTCTGGTTGGAAAAAAAAAAAATTTACTCTGGGGAACATTACTAAAATCTATTCCATAGAAAAATTTTGCTTGTAAAATTTTATCCTTTTCCTGGTATCAAATGGGGGTCTTGGATATACAAAAACATATAATTCATCTAATTTTTGGCCAAATGTAATGACCAAGACCTATCTATGTGTTTTTGAAGGTACCGAATCCATTCTTAGCATGAAACCTCCATTTCATGATATTTTTGCCTGATTTTAACCCTCAAAACTGGCTCCTGGTGTCCCCTCAATCTCAAAATAAGATAACTTGGGACCCCCCTCATGTTCAGTCATATCTTGATAAATAATAATGGTATGATGATGGGTTAAAGTTGAAGCGTACAAACTATGAAATCAGGTATGGCATCCACACAATTTTTTGTTTATATATATATATATATATATATATATATATATATATATATATGTGTGTGTGTATGTGGTGATTGTGTGTGTATGCCAAAAATATGTATACACACTACAGAAAAGCAAAAACTTGTCTTTCATAGTTTTATCAAATTGTGATAACACTGTTTACTGTAGTATGATATTTTTTCAACAGATAGCTTTACCCTCATGGTTGTAGCATCAAAGTGAGGTATACAACAGGGCGGACCTATGTTTGTTGTTTGAGGAACGTAAGATTATTTTAAAGAGGTGCAGTTGAGTTCCCTCCATGTTCTGATTTAAAACCTGCAGCCTTTTACCTATGGAGGACCCTAAAGAATGTTGTGTATTGCAGAAAAACGATCACCTTGGCAGCTCTTAGACAAAAAAAAACTGAAAATGTATGTGCAGCAATCCTACTGGACACTTTGGCCAATGTTGCCTGAGCAGTAGTTCATTGTACTTATAAATGTCTGGAAGATAAAGATAAAGGCCACCATTTTGAGCATCCCTGGTGATTGTAGAGTCCAAATGTAATGTGTATTAACCTTGTGATGTCTGAATAAATTTAGTATTACAATATGTATACAAGTTTTTTCCTTTCCCGAGATATATATATATATATATATACACACACACACCTTAATTCCTAATATATCTGCAAAGACAATATTAATAAAAGGAATAACAAGAGGAAAACTTACTTTTACAACACATAATACATTTTTCTCATCATTCCGTGTGTGTATTTCTATATATATATAAGAGAGTGAGATGTGGGAGAGAGGGAATGGAAACGCTTAATCTTAACTGAAACAAGGCCAAAATAAAATAATAGAAAGTCTGTAAAAGGTGAAAGAGGCAAGAAGTAAACTGTGTGGAGCATAGTTATGTTCCAAAGTCAATGCTCAAGTGAATCCTAAATTTAATAAATGATCATTAAGGTTTCTTGTATCTGCACAAATAATTAGCATATTTGATAAAGTATTTTTCTGTAAACTGGATGGTTTCACTCTCTCTCTCACTTGTAGAACTCAGCCAGATGGTGTATGTACTACATAACAAGACAGAGGTTGGCAAACCCTGATCCACATTTGGCCTACCAACTTTACACCTAGACACTAATTGTCCAATTCATTTGTGGTGCAAGTAACGGAAAAAATATCAGTTGGAATTAACTGACTTACAATTCAATGAATTTTTGAAATCAAAATTTCATTCCAAATCCACTGCTGATGTCTACAAGAAATATATTTTGCACAGCAGAAAATGTAAAAGCCTATTGAATAATGAAAAAATGATCATAGCTTTATTTGGAAGAACATAAATACAATTAAAAACAAGTGTTTTTTTTAATTATTTTTTATATATCAATTTTCTTTATTAAAAAAGAAATTTCTTTACAATTTTATTAAAAATAATTAAAAACAAAAAAACTGGTTCATATTTTACATAATGCCTTTTCAAATGCCTTATGTGAAGAAAAATATTCATTAATTAAGGTTTTAATCCTTAATAAATTACTTTTATTCGGTTATAAATAAAGTTGTTTTTCTAGTGCCAAGTTGTCTCAGTCCTGAGTCATCCTGGTGCTCAATCAGCAGTGCTGAGTTGTCCTGCACCCACCAAGGGAATGTAAATTCTAGACACATCAGCAGCAACATGATATGCGAGAACTAGTGATGCTAAAGCAGAAGTGTTAACAGACAAAGACGTTACTAAACCAACAAAAAGAGAGCATCACATCAAATCAATATCCCAATTCAACAACTGGTACCACTAAACCAATCAGTCAATGCATTTTACAACCTATACTGTATTCCATAGAGTTTCATAGTTGTTAACTAACAAAAGGTACCATTTATTAACATCATGACATTGGTTGTTGTGCCTCATTTCAGCCAGTGAATATTGCCATATTTCCTGATCAGTCAAATAACATTTCCAGCTCTTTCGGATAGTCAAGTTCGTATTTAGGAAAGACTGCATGAATCTATGGATCCAGCCTGTCAACAGAGTGCTATGCAAGCTGGTACTGGTTCTGTAATAATGTGAGGCATGTTCTATTGGGGTTTGCAAGGATCATAAGTGAAATTAGAGTCCATCTTAATAAGCATGGCATACAAAGATCTTGTTGCAGACCATCTGCATCTCTCATATCTATCATGTTTCCCCACTGGTGAGGATTTGTTACAGCAATATAACTCCACATCATGTACAGGTGACACAAAACTGGTTTAATTGATGTTAAGTAGGTATAGGACACATTGCAGCCATGCCTATCAAATACTAATCAGTCATGAACATCTTGATAAATATTACGATGCAACAACACCTTATAGAATTCATGCTATGTCACATAGCTGCCATTATTTAGGCAAAAAACAGAAGCAACATCTTATTAGGTAGTTTATATAATTGGGGTCAAAGATTTATATATACAATATTGAAAGAAATGGGGGGAGACAATTTTTTTCTATGTGGAAAAAAGAAAAAAAAAGAAAAAGGTAAAATCTTAACTGAATTCTTAAATTTGAAGGTTTTCTGTCTCCAGAAACTATCTACTAATTTGAAATAATCTAAAACAATTTTCACTAAAGTGTACATTTTCATTAAGGGTCCTAACGAAATTTATTTTGTTTAAAAAGCCTAAAAGGCTTTTCTCACAAAAGGTATTTAAATCTGTAAATAATAATCCAAAAAGAGACTTACGTTCGCGCTCCCCGTCCACCTCGACTTGGCCGGAAGAGCAGTTCATCATCACTGCTTTCCTCTTCATTTGGGACATTTTCAGTCACATTTGAGGCACTCCCAGAAGCAAACATTTCAGAGATGTTGCTTGACTGATCTAGAGAAAATAAAATACAAAAAGTTGAAAAAATTGCGAAGTTTTCCAAATACTGAAAGAGAGAAAGAAATTTTTTTTTTTTTTTTTAAACTTTTGTCAGCAATTACCAGCTTTCTAAATATTAAAAAAAAAAATTTAAAAAAGGCTCACAAAATGTCTTCCTGCATAAATCTATTTTAAAAGGCTAAGTTATAATGTTGATAGTGAAATTTTTTTTTGATTTGATCCACTTAAAAAAGCTAAAAGCTTTCAATGCAGCTTGCAATTTTATCATGGAAACTGATCTTTTGTTTTTGTATTCAAAAATTTTTTTCTCCATAGATATTTGAGAAAAAAAAAAAAAAAAAAAATTGCAATTCAATGTCTTCAAATATTGCCTTAAACTTAAAATTACCAAAAAACATTTACAGCATGCAAATGGTATTCACTTTTAAAGAATCACTTAAGTGAGGGATATTGACTATTTCTAAAAACTAATGGATTTATTTTTAATCCAACATTTTTATTAATTCAAATTATCTACTATAATAACGTTTGAAATAAAGGGTGTTCCAATAACTTGAACAGATTTTAAATGTGAAATGTATTAAGTTTAAGCATCTAATGATTATTTTTTTTCTTTCAAATTTGGCAGATATTTGGGCAATATTTTTCATACGACTCAAATAACATGATTCAATAGAAAAATAAATACATTTTCACCAGTAACACTGATTTATTTACTGCCGACTTTGATCCGTCTTAATGAAACACCTTTTATTAACTATTGCATTATATTTCACATATGTTGTCGATACACTTTAGACACCCTTTTAGTCTTTTATAGAACTGACAGTTCTATCATAAAAATTTATCCCTCTTTAAAATACAGAAAAAACAATGAAGCTATTTTAAAACAAAGCAATTATGACAAAATAATTATACTCCTTTACAATCATCAAAAATAATTCATCATGAAAGGTCCAGGGAAGATAAATCGATTTACTCAGCCTCCCAGTTACTACACGAATTTGAGCATCAAAGTACTTCATAGATACAAGATTGCTAGAATCGACACCTAGCATAATCATGTTGCTTTATTTTATTAGGTATTAATGTTTAAAAAGGAATTACTGATACACAATACAAGAGAAAGAACATAAAAATGAAAAGGTTTTCAAACCTGCTTCATTAGAATTTGATGATCGTCGCATTTGCTCTTCATCAGCACTGAACTCAGCAAAAGCAGCCATTGCTCCAGTTGTATCACAGATGTCTGCCTCATGGCCAGATGTCACTGACTGGTCAGGCTCATTTGTTCCTCCACTGGCCACAGTGCTCTTGCTGCCTTTGCCCTTCCTTTTCGAACCCACTGTGCAAAATGCTGAACTCATATCATCTCGTACACCACTGCTATGGGCTGACTCCTTGCTGGCCACTGCCTCATTCAGGCCATGGCCACTGCTTTCTGCTGCCTGATCACAGTTAGAATCACTCGTTTCAATCTTTAACCCCTCGCTGTCCAGCAGCGGTGCCGGGGGTGGGACTGGATCACTTTCAGAGATCCCTTGAGATCTGTTGTCTAGAAAACCTGATGAAAGACTAGGGGAGGAGGAGGATTTACAATTGGTTTCGGACTTGTTGGATTCATTAGTGCTGGAGGCAGGAGTTTCTTTCTCAATCTCCATTGAAGTGTGAACTGGGTTCTCATTGGCTGGCATGGTCAGCTGACCTGGCATACCCGATGTGCCCAGCTGGCTGAGGGAAGCATTCTCTGCACTCCGCTCAAGAATGCCAGCCTCAAGGTTCTCAAAGGCTGCAAAGCCAACACGGATTGTGCTGCTAGAAGTGCCCTCGGTTTCATAATGAAGGCTTATCACAGGCTCTATACGAACAGGTGGAAGATAGGATTGCAATGGCGGAAGTGAGGCAACTGAGGTTGAAGCTACTGGTTGATGAGAAAGATGAGGAGCAGGTGGAGTAATAGTTGTGTTCTCTGGAGTAATGCTAGGTTCATGAGCAGTCCCACTTTGTGCAGAGGAGGACGAAGTCTGCATTTGTCTGCTGGAAATGGTTGGTAGAGATTCTTTTAGCTGACTTTCAGTCAAGCTGTTTGCTTGCAGGTCAGACCTGTTTTTGACAATGCTACAACTATCATCTACTATATTACATTGGCTACTACTAGATTGTTCTGCTGGTTGTCGGTGTTCAGAGTCCAATGGAACACTAGCGTGTACCGCAGTGCTTTCTTGGATATTGCTTTTGTCTGTAGCTGAATTAAGGCGAACCTTTGTTCTGATATTACTGTTGATCCCAGTGAATCCTGAACATTCTGACGAGATAGACGGGACATTGGGGTCAGGTGTGGAGTAACGTGGGAGGCTAGCCACAAGGTCATCTGTGCTCGAGGTAGATGGGATGCTAATTGTACTAGGATCTTCAAAACTACAAGATGGTTTTGGACGAAGTTCTGAATGTGGCCGAACTGTAGACTGAGCTGTTGAATTTGTGTCTCCTTTGGTTGCCAACGTAGGACATGAATCTCCAGTGGGCAGCGGATTAGCTTCCACTGCAGACTCATGCAGCCCAGGCTGCAGGGTTAGAACATTAGCAGGTGAACCTGGAGTGGTATCCATGGCTGGCATCATATCTCCACTGAGGTTATCCATAATGTTACCTGTGTCCTTGGAGCTGCCCTCTGGTGGGTTAGCTGGGGCTGGGGCTGAAGGAGGAGTTGCTGCTGAAGCTGCCATAACATCTGTCAGGTTGCTGGATGAAGGAATTTCAGCTGATGACGCAGATGGCTGCTCTCCTTCCTCAGTGTTACGTAGACTCCCATCCAGCCACCTAGTCAGCATGTCTGACATACGCTGCATTATTGTTGTATGTGGACTGCGCTGTCCTAAAAATAATCAAGTATAAAGAATAAAAGTTTCTGGAATCAGAAAATTTCTAATTATTAACTTTAAAATTAAATCATCAGAAATTTTACTGCAGGTATTCAGGAACTACAGATTTTACAAATACAAGACAATAAGAAATTTTTTTTTCTTTTTCATAAGTGTAACAATGATTCTAACAAAAGTAGTTAGAGAAATAACAGCTCAGAATTTGTAGCTTAGAATTCATGTTATTATATAGAATATTAATGATTTGTTTACTGAATATTTTCCTTAAAATATATTACATAGAACATAAAGATTAAAAGTTGCACTCAGCCAAAGGTTATCCGAAAAAGGAAAGCTGAAAGAAATGAATATTTCTAAATATAATCAAAGAACATGAATATAAATGCCTGCTAAAAGACTTAGAGAACTAATAACATATTTTTCACATGCTGACTTGGAAAGAATGTGGCACAAGTCCATTTTTAAAGTTTTTTTCTAAAAATATTCCAGTCCTGTTGACACTTCCCCTTTTGAGAGATGCCTATTTGGCTGGAGAGGTGGGCTCTTTGGGATTAAACTTAAACAGTTCATATGCACAACTTGGGTCAAAAGTGATAAGACTAAATGTGTATGACTGAATACATTTTGTTGGATCAACACATTAAAATAAATTAAATTTGAATAGTCTACTCCCAACCCTCACAATCATAGATTTTAAAACATGTCAAATTTTATAAACAATGCACATTACAAGCAAACAAACCAAATCTTACTCAATAATAACCAACCAAGTATGTTTGTAGACTGTCAGGTCTGTACCATTTTTACTGATTTGAGTTAACTCCATTGCACTGATTATGCCAGGTAGAATTGTCTGTTATACTGATGAACCGTTCCAAGATGTTTATGAAGCTAGCATGTGAAAAGACTGACAGTATACACCATTAATTTGGATGTCCTTGATAAACTGGTGCTGTATTAAGATCTCTATCAGATGAAAGCTAAAGCAGAATTCTATTTCTGATATTCTATTTTGAAATTTCTCTGCTTCTTTCAATCATATGTTGTTGATCTTTCTGATGTGAATCAATCTTTTAGGTAACTTTCCTTTTTATCTTTTGTAAATTATGAAATGCAGTGGAGTGAAAAATATTTTTTTTTTATTATTAAAAAACTGATTAAAACTTCAGATTGATAAAATTTAAATCAGGTCAGATTATTTTGCTTGAACCATGAAAATTATTTCCTATCATTCCAGCTGTATATCACATTTTAACACAGAGCATTTTTTTAATTATACAACAAACAAACCAACAATCTATTTAAACACAGCTTTCTAAAATTTTCATGTCAGAATGTTACCCAAAAATACATTTAAATAAAAGCAAAAACGGACAGCTTGTAAGTATCATGTTCAAACAAAAAGCTTTCTTTTTAACTATCATATCAAACTAAAAACATATGAAGGAATAAAGTCATACCTTCCCCAGATTGCCGTTCTCTTTCAGGCCTTGCATTTGGCCCAGTGTCTGACCAATCACCACGCAAACGTAGCCTCTTGATAGGAGGCTGTCTGTTTCCAGTGTCACAAGAGACACCTTCTGCCATTAGACAGGTACTTCTACCCTCTTCCCCCTGCACAAATACAAAAGATTAAAAATCTTATTGCAACTAGATACTTAAATGCCACAAGATTTAGAATTTACATCAAATAGTATGAGCATGTATACATAAATAGAAGTCCTGTACATCTAATAGACAAATATCATTTCTTTTTGCTAAGGCATATATCAAATGCAGCATTTACCTATTATTTAGACACAAATTGAAACATACTAATTCATAAAAATAGTTTCAAATGTTGCATAAGGCTTCCTAACATTCTTTTTGTTTAATTGTTTATAATTTAATTATATATGTTGGCTCAAACAAAACAAGAATAAATTGTCACGCTGAAAATGGATGGTATAAAGAATTGTGATAAAACAGTTGAATGTTTGCATAAAAACTGTTTTTAAAGTGAGGAAAAAAATTTCAAGAGGAGCAAACAATCACATCAAATCCAATTCCAGGTAGAAACTATTCAGTTCATACCAGAAGAGTTATTGAAGTTGTCAAGAAGAAAGGATGAAGAGAAATCGACAAAGAAACATGGCAAAAGAGCTGGATATTTTGGATAGGTCACTAAGGATTATTGAGAATAAGGATTTAGGGATTACAAAATTCAAAAAACAATACCTGTTCTCAAGTGTTCCCCCCAAACAAAAATGGTTTGGCAGAAGGAAGAAAATGTTAGGATATACAGTGTGCTGCAGACAAAGTCTTTGGTTGGCTGGACAAGAAGATTTTCACTGTGGAGGCTGTGGTCAACTACCAAAATGATAGAGTTAATGCCACATCACCAGGAAACATTCCCAAAAATGTCAGAACACAATTCAAGTGACAGAAACCAACAGGTATTATGGTTTTGGCTGCTGTTGCTTCTGATGATTCAAAATCACCCTTGGAGACATTGAAAATGGAGGTGGGTGAAAGTGAATAGCAGAGTTTAGCAGCAAATGATAGAGGTGTTACCCTGGTTGTCAGCCACAATTGAAAGTCATTATGTCTTCACTCAAGACGGAGCTCCCTCACACATGGCCAATTTGATACACAACAGGCGCAAGAGACATTTTTGCAGATTTTTTGACAAGTCAATTTGAACTGCATCAAGCTCGAACATTAATCCTATGGACTTTGATAAGGCCCATATTAGAAACATTTTGTGTCTCCTATTCAAGTGTGTCAGACACAAAAGAAGCTCTTATGACATAATTTGAGCAAAGAGGCAAAATTATCATCATGTACCTCATTTGAGAAGAGATTAAGGGCTATGGTGAAAACAAATGTAAAATACTCTCAATAAATATAACAACCAACCTGTAAACATTCACCAACTGAAAAACTTTATTTTGTGATAAAATGAATAATGAGAAAATGCGTACACTGCACCCAATAGGTGTCTACAAAAATAATTGAAAAAAAAAAAAAAAAAAAACTGCTCATGTAAATTTTAAACTATATTTATACTCAACCAATCATTCCTTGTCTAAATCCCCTTTCTCTTAAAAATGGATCAAAAAGCAAAAATAAAGCAACAAAGTTTAAAGACATTTCTAGATGTGACAACATAAAAAAATACAATTGCATATAAACTTTACAAATTTAAAATTAGTAATCTAAGCATTACTCAGAGCCATTGAAAAAGATTAAATAAAGATTGGATTACTTATAAGAATTTTCTATATTTAAATTTAATAACAAATGTGATATCTAGTGGATGCATACATAGTAGGTAAAATAGGTGTTGGAAATACAAAATTCCCAATAAGCACAAAATCAAGAAAAAAACTTACAATGCAGAAAAGTAATAAATATCATTAATTAGATAAAAAGGAAACCTTTCTTAACAAAATAAAAAAATAGATTCAGACATATCATCAATGTTTTAATCATACCTGCATAACTATATATGTATTGTGTGCATGTACATTAAAATCACACACAGATTTAATACAGATAAGAAAATCAATTGTTAAAATTAAAAAGAAATTGAAAATACAAATGAAAGTTGTCAACACAAATGCATAAAAACCTGATAGTGCAAGTTTACATGAACTAAAATAGCAAAAGTCAAGAAAAAAAAAAAAAAAAAAAAAAAGAAGTCAAATTCATAATCTTAAGTAAGACTAAATAAAATCCAAATTAAGTGTATTGTCTGAAGACTGACCAAAAATTGAAATAACAAAGTCTTAATTTGAGGTTAGAAAAAAAAAGTTGCAGGAAATATTTTGAAAGACTAAGAGTTTTCATAACAAAAATAAAAATAAAGGAAAGAAACAATGATTTGTGAATAGAAAATAAAGATAAGAAGCTTACCCGAGTTTTGAATAAATAAATATACTCTGAGGAGTAACTGACAAGCATCTCATTGCCATCAGGACTATAACAAAGTGATGTGATACGATAATTTCGGTTCTTCAGAGTCGAAGCTGTGAATCGACAGGTCAACCCTGTAGTGAATTTAGTTGTATAGTTTCCTGCAAAGGAGTAACAGATGCAATGTGCAGTTGAGTGAGTAAATCTCATCATTTGCAAGAGAATATGGCAATAAAAGGAGTGACATTCAAAATATTGCAATGATTGAACAAGTAAGGATGTGTATATGTCTAGCTTTTCAGATGGTCTAATTATTAAAAGCTTCTCTTCATCACCAGAATATTTATGATACTAAAGTAGATAAAAGGTAAAATAATTCAAAATTCAAGATTTAAGAAAATATTTTCCATGCTGTGTCAAGGACCTTACCTCAAGTAATTGTCCAAGAAACAAAATTTGGACCCCTTGAAAAAATAAATAATTTTCAGTATATTTCAGATTGGTTCACATTTACAGAATCTTTAAAAAGGAAAACATACTTTAGTTGCCTCTCCATTTCAGAATATATATATATATATATATATATATATATATATATATTTTTTTTTTTTTTTTGAACGTAAGAAAAAGTATAATTAAATGATGTTCAAGCAATACATTTGTTTAATATCAATTGATTTCCACATTATTTTCTACTTTCAGAAATTTTAAGTGGCTGAGGAAAATGTCTTAAAAGACCTCTACAGAGTCAAGAAAACATGAGGATTAACATACATGAACCTTGGAATAGTGCATACAGTCATGTACTAAGTAAACAAATTTCAATTCTATTTGTAAGAAAGATATTATGCTTTCAAAGGAAAAACAGTGTTAAATAATGTTTCTTGAATTTTGAATTAATTTCTTTAACGGATGAGATTTTAATGACTATTCTTCAAGACTCCAGACTAATATTTTTCACCATTATCCTGGAATTGTTCTGAAAATTTTTTTAACCAGTCTTGAAATTAAACTGTTTATTTTTCTTTTTTAAAACTTTGCTAGTATTTATATTTGTTAATAGCATAATAAAAAACACTATTAAAACATTTAAGAAATAAATATTTATTTTAATAAATTCAATCTTTAAACTGTGCTCTTCATGGCCTGCAGCCACCATTCTGAAATTTATTTGCTTTTAAAGCAAATAGTACAAGTTGTGACAAAAATTAAAAAAGCTAAAATATTAAAGTTTTAAAAATGAATAAATACAATTCATATGGCAGAATTTTTAAATCAAAATATAGTTATTCTGAACATGAAAATTAATTTCTGCATAAGATTATTCATGGTGATTTAACCAAAATGTTTAAATAAAAATAATTGTGATTTTTAAAAAAATTACAGTAAACTAATTTGTTCATTTTATATATAAAGAATACTAGTGCATTCCAATTATGCACAATCAGAAAAGATTTTAAAGTCTTTAACAAAAACAATTTTCATTTCCAATTACCCTCCTCACATTGTGATTAAATTTTTCATGTTTATTATTTTATAAATTCTTTTATTTTCAATTTAGCTGATAAAATGAAAAAAAATAGCCCACAAATATTAATGGTCCATTCAAGTCTTTTTTAACCCAAAAATAACAGAAAAATAGTTTCTTGTTTGTTTATTATAGCAAAATTAGTTCTTACAATTAGATTCTAATATTCTTCACATTTAAACATAAATATATATATATATATATATATATATATATATATATATATATATATATATAGGATTAGCGTATACAGAATAAATTCCAATAACCAACAAATACTATTCTTAAAAGAGGTGCTCAATACAGAGTAGAGCAAATATAATTATTTATTCGAAAAATTGGAATTTATTCCATATATACCAATCCTATACTTGAATATTAGCTCCTATTACTGTTGAGCACTGTCTATTCTATTCTTATACCATGGATAAAACCAATTTCGGATTATCTTTAAAGAACATTCCCACCACAAACAAACGGGTTTATTTCGTCCATTTAACTCTACAAATGGAAATGTTATAATTTTCAAATAAATAATTATATATATATATATATATATATATATATATATATATATATATATATGCTCCATTTATTAAAAGCCTGCTCCTATTAGTGAGAAGTAAGATTTTTTTTTTTTTTATTTAAGAATTTTGTGTTCTTTTAGAATAAATACAAATGAAATTTTAATTAAACATTTTGAATCATCCCAGGATCATTGCACAAAATCTGAACCAATCATCCCGAACCAATCATCCCAAACCAATATTCTGTCATCCCTGGGATAAGAAGACATTGTTGGTTTTGAGAAACTTTAAAAGATTGCATCCTTTAAATAATTTGAAGGAATTATAAAAATGATTCCAAGAAATATATCTGTAAATAATCAAAATTTGTCCAACAAATAAGGAAACTAAAGTATTTCTTATTTTGGTATTAAATAAGGTAAACATAATGCAACTCACCTGTGGCCCTAGTTCCCAGCATTCTGCGGTCAAAAATCAACACTGTGCTATCAGACAAGGCTATCCCCAGCTCATAGGGCACCATAGGGTTGACTGCCATTGATGTTACAGCACGTTGGCAAAAAATCATAACATCCTGGAAAAAAAATAAAATAAAAATCAATAGACAAGAAAGCAAATCATAAATTATGCCACAATATTCTTTAGAATATGACGGATTGAAAGAACTTTCCAAACAAGTCTATATTAAAAAATATACAAAAATATTTAGAGCTTTTAATTTAAAAATCATAAAAGAGAAAAAAATATTTTTACCCAATCTTTCAAAGTGGAACAAACAAAAACCCAAAAATCTTTGGAAAAATACAGTTGAAGGCAAATTTAATTTCAGCCTATTTTAAGTTAAGCAAGTTTTGAGATTCATTTATGGATCAGTATTCCAGATAAGTTTCAGATCTTCAAATACCAAGTATTCTCTGAATTTAAGAATATACAAAAAATCCATACAATCTCCCCCACCTTTACAAAAACAAAATTTACTTACATCTCGGCAATCATCTTTGTTGCATTTAGTTTTCATGCGTAGATCAAACCACCTGACAGTGCAATCTTCGCCACATGAAAGAAATGTGGAGGATTCATTTGGGACAACCACCACCTGCAGAAAAGTAATTAATGATTATTCCACTAAGAATATTTTAGCAGAGAAAGAAAAGAATTATGACTATTAATATTAATACAATAGTCAAGTGGTGCTGGGTAATTAATTTTTTTTTTTTTTTACTCGAGTCAATCCCATACAATATTGAGAAGATTTTCAGTTTTACATTGCTGTATCTCTTCTAAGATGTTAGCAAAAAGGTGTTTTGCCTTAATTGTGGTAAGGTATGGTCATTCAGTTCTCTAAAGTAGTTCAGTTCAATTATCTTTTTAGTCTTAAGGAAAAAGATTTTTTCTAACATATCTATGGATATGAAAGAAAGAAAAACAAACAAAAACTAGTGCCAATGGAAATTCAAGTAAAACCGAGTAAAAACAAAACAAAAAACTTTAGTATATGTAATAAAATTCACCCTCCCCTCCAATATTTAAGAATACACTTCCCTTTAAAATCAAGCTGACTACTTTCAATTTAGGAGCTAGAGAAAGAAGATATTATGACAAAGAAATGTTTTTAAAAAAATCATAATCTATGCTAGAACATATAGAAAGTAGCAAAAAATGTTGACATTTTGTATTAAAATTTGGTAAAAATCTATAAATGAATAGAAGGAGAATTTAACAAAAGCAAGGATGAGAGGGGGAAAAAAGGAATTTTAATATGAATTTTTATCAAACATGATTTTCTGATGTCAACACAACTTTAAGAATTATTTTCTTTTGCAACTTTTCATAACTTTTTTTTAACACAATGACAATACTACTAACAGCAAAGTAGTAATGGCAACATTAGAATTGCACTCCTGTCCACAAATCTAGCAAAGAAAAATAAGATCACACACATAAGAAGGGAGATTTAATACTTTATACTTTTTTTTTTTTTAAATAAGAATCTTCTTGAAGTTCCAATATTATATGCTTAACATTAATGTTAGTATTTGATTAAAAATAAAATATTCGCTAAATAATTTTAGATATAAAGTTTTTAATTATATTACCCACCTCATATGTGGTACCAAAATGGCAGTCAAAGCAATTGGTGCCATACATGTCTTCTCGTTCTGTGTTTGTGTAAAAAATCTTGCCATCACCAGAACAGGAGACAATCTTAAATAAATAAAAAGGTAAAGTTGTTTATAAAATAAGCAAAGAGAACCAGTATAAAAACATTTCAGGACACTTCATTTACACTTTTAGTATTAACAAATCCAATCAAGTTTAATTCATGCATGAAAAAGGAATATTTTCCCACCTCTTCATTAGACTTTGAAATGTTGATTAATTGATTTTTTTTTTTTTTAACTTTTTTGTAGGTTATTTAAAGCCAAAATATTTTTGGATTGTAAGAATTTTTTTTTTTTTTTGCAAGTGAATATTGTATTAATTTTTTGGAAATAATGATTGTTTTCAGATACAAGTCCTACCATTAAGGCCATAGATGGAGAGGGAGAAGAGGTGGATTCATACCTTTCTCAAGTGTATGTGAGTGTAAGTGAATGTAATGAACCCAACTGGAATTTGAACTCAGCATCTCCAATTTCTCATTCCAAGCTGTTATCCATTACACCACCTGCACATCCAAGCTTACAGCACCTGGTATTCACAAGTGGTCACCCATCTAGGTATTGACCAGGCTCAACATTGCTTAACTTCAATGATCAGATGAGAACTGGTGTTTCAATGTAATATGGCTGTAAGCCAGATTTAAATGAATATCTCATTCTAAAACAAATTTTGCAAACACAATGCATTATAAAAAAATAAAATATTGCATCTTTCACTTAGCTTAGAAAATAAAATTAGATTTATCACCTCTTTGTCATGACAATTAGGCAAAAACTTGGCACTAAAGATATTTGCCCGATGACCAGAACGAATTGAAGTAAGTTTCTGAAATGGAAAACAAAAATTGATTTTTAATTAAATGACAAGAAAGAGTTTCAGATAATAATTTTGAATTATCTATAGCAAATAATACTTAAATAAAAATTTCACTTAAAATGGAGAAAATTAGAATTAATGAATTTATTTTTCCACTTCAGAAAGAAGTTAAAATTTTTAGTCAGTAAAATAATTCAATTTCATTAATAACCAAAGTGTACTTACTTTGCCGTCAAAAGGATTAGTGATGACCAGGTACTGGTCATCTGAACCAGATAAAATGTACTGGCCACTATCATTCCAGCATATTGTATTTACCTAAAAATTCAAGCAAAATAAAAAAAAAATTTGCTACAAAGCAGCACATGAAATTCAAAAGACACTATTCCTCTTAGTCAAATAAGCAGATTTAGCTATCTATTTTGAATTCGTTTTTTTTTTGTTTTTTTTTTGTTCTATAAAAAAATACAAAGTATATAGCTTTTAACCTTCCGTGTTATTTATTCATGTTTTCACCGATTCTAAAAATCACTGAATATTTTTCTAAATAGGACTAGCCAAAGCAGATTTACTAGTTACTGCAATTTTATTCCATATTAGAGATATCATTTGAGATCTCTCTCTCTCTCTCTATATATATATATATATATTAAAAATGTAATCATTATAAAACAAAAGAAAGTAATGCTTGTCATTTTATTTAAAGCTCAAAGTTAGATCCCATGTATAGGTGGAACTAAATTAAAAAATTGCTCATGCACTCTTGGCAGTTCCCCTTTTGAGAACATCTTAGATTCCAGAGATAAGTCTAAACCTCTTATTTAGATGTATAGCCTAGGGGATAGCCCCATTGAAGTTAAACATAATAATGATTGTAAAGCCATATAAAAATGTGGGCTTGGAGATTAATTACTCATTCCCACTCAAACAAAATATGATACAAGGCTGAGTTTAAAGTGTGAGTCTTAAGGGATAAAAATTATACAAGCTTCCTTAGTATTTTCCCTTTAAGAAGGCCTTAGGTGCCTGGGATTAACCCCATCATATGGGAGAGGTACTACTTGTAGGACTGCCCCCAACCCACCCCACCCCGAAGATAGGTATAATAGTAACAATTGTAAAACCACATAAGAAAATGTAGGTTTGGGGATTAATTACAAAATGTCCACTCAAGCAGAATTTTTTTTTTACAATAATGTTCACTCTTTACAAGGCCCAAGGTTAGAGAGTAAGAAGCACAGTTTATAGGGACATGCGAGGAAGATAATGGTTAAGACTTAAACAGGCTAAGATTGTAGCGACCGAGGAAGCATCCTCTTGGGAATCAGTTCCACAAAGCAGTGATTTGTGGGAAGAAGCTGCTCGAGTGGAACTTACATCTCACCAAAGGAATATGAAGGGAATGAGGTTTGGTTCACTAGAATATGCATATCCTAGTTGTGAACATTAGAACTAGTGGAACTAAGGAATGTAGTTTGTTTGAACATTTTATATGGCAATAGCAATAGTGCAGCAAGAGATTTGCAAGGTGTCATCTGAGAGAAAGGTAATGTAAGGTGGAAAATAATTCATCACCCACAATGACGAGGAGATGCTTTTGGGCTATCAGGATGGAACAAGGCTATGTTTTTAAGTGGAAATCCTATAGATACATGGGATTAGAGACCAAAAATAGTTTGATCTCAGCACTTATGCATCACTAGTCGTTTCCCCTGAAAAGATGCCCACCCCTCCCCATTAGTGAACTTAATGACTGTAGGCCCACCAAATAAAAAAACAGGTTTTAACATGGTATTTATTCATGCACCCACTAACAGAATGTTACACAAGGTTGAGTTTAAAGTGCCTCCTTGGCATTCCTCCTTTTGGAGACACATCAGGATGCCAGGTAATAACTCTAGTCTCCTCCAAAAAAGGTGAAATACTGCCTGATGGAATTAATAATTGCAAAAATGTAAAAAAAAAAAAAAAAAAAAAATGGATTTATATACACCCATTTAATACAAAATACAAGGTAGTGTGTTTAATATCTGTACATGTAGAGGGTTTCACACAAAATACAGTGTAACCCGGATATAAGAGAGTTGTCGGGACTGGAGAAGAAGTCTCTTATATCCGGGTTTGGTCTATTTTGTTTACATTAACACAGGTTCTAATTTGGGACCAGAGAAAATTTCTCTTATATCCGGGTTACACTGTACAAGGTAGTGGGTTTAATATCTGTACATGTAGAGGGTTTCATACAAAATACAAGGTAGTGGGTTTAATATTTGTACAAAAATTACCCAAACTCCCTTGACACGTCACCATTTAGGATACCTCAGGTACCAGGTAATGAGGCTGGCCCCCTCCCATGTATGCTCTATAATGCAATTTTAAGCATAATGGCATTGGAATTGAATAGTTAGACTACCAGTGAACAACTAAAAGGGACAGAATGGAGAAGTTATAGATGCCATGCAGTGAGGCAAAGGAAAAGGACTTAACAATGATAAGCAAATAGTAAAATAAAAACCAAATATGTCCAAACTCTACAAACCAACCAACTTGCTGCATACATTTTATCAACACACATTCAGTTTGGAGGAAAAAAAATTGAAAGTGTTTTAATAGCAAATTTATAGCCACATTACAGAAAATGCAATTTATTATTTTATAGAAGGAAAACATTAAACTGTTTTGCAATTTTTCACCAGTATCAAAATATATATTTAAGACATTAAAATCATGTCTTAGTAAAAGTACATAAATATAGTCCTTGGAAAAAGAAAAAAAAGTAGACATCTTCACAATAGTATTAAAAAAATGTTAGTGATATGAATATACAGAGTGCAGTAGAAATATCTCCCACATAATGTGACAAGGCATTAGTGGCAATGGTATCTTTAACTAGACAATGTCTTACCATTACCAGGGAGGTATCCCCCCCCATATATATATATATATATATATATATATATATATATATATATATATATATATATATATATATATATATTCATTCACTAAAATATATTTGTTTAATAAAGAGGAAAGAGAAGAAAATAATCAAAAAGGCAGGAACAAGTTTAAGATTACTTAGAAGTTAACAAGCAAAATTTAATATTTCAATATTTAGCAGATCTGAACACTTAATTTATCAATCGTGTTTAGTTTTGTATTTTATATTCAAACACAAAACAAACGGAACTTGTGCACTGAAAAATTTATAAATTATTTCCAAATAAATTCATAAAGGACTTGCCACATCATAATAGTGTCATTAATATAAGCAAACTCTTGTTTATACATAACTATACTGTTTAACATTTGCAATATTTATGAGAGAAGAGGAGTGCTCAATACTGGAGATTGAACATATGTAGATATAAACAGCGTGAATATAAAAATCAAAACTTCATGAAACTGCCACTCATCATGCAGTGCTGATTTCTATGCCTCTACACACACACACACACACAGGTGCTGGAAAGATTTTTAGATTGACCCACTTTCCAAAATCTGACCAAACAGAATTTGCTTTGGAATCTCTTTTCAGGCTAAGAACTTTTCAGTACTCTTTGTTATGTTAGGTTGGTCGAGTTACAACATATCAGCCCTTGTTGGATTATTTATGGTCAAAATCAATTTTTTTTGCTTTTTTTTAATCCTGAACTGAATGAAAAAGTCTTAGAGAGCAAAAATCATAATGAATTAATAGATTTGATGTTAGCTTTTAATATTAATTAATGTAAAGAACATTTCTATAAACTGTTTAAAAAAAAAATTATGAAATAGAACGTAAATATGAAAATGCAAAATTTAGAAAAATTTAAAAATTAGCCTCAACAGATTAAAATGATAACTTTAAAAATATTCTTTGCTAACAATGAAAATAGCTCTTGTTTTAAAATTAATATCATGGTACATGTTCCTATGATATTATTAGCTGTCAAAGCAAGAGAGGAAACTGAGATTGGATGATTTTATGGGCCATAATATAGGTGTTATTTATTAGGGTTTTTTGAGTGGATTCAGTTTTTGATTGTTGTCCTTTTTTTCTTTTTTTTTTTAAATTTCTTTTTTTTTTTCAAGTATGTTGAAAAAGAATTTTTCTTTCTTCAGAAGATTTTTGAAGTTTTATGGCTTTTACTTGTGTTTTTTTGCCTTGAGGTGGATCATTGTCGGTTTATTTTGATACCTTTGGTTAAGTGGTTCATTTTGTGGTTCGTTTCTGAAAAGGAAAGTGGGATGGCTGGATTAGAGATCTTTATTGATTTCTGTTTGCAAGTCTTTGGTTTGGTAGGTGATTTCTGGGTGTCATGAGAGGGGGAGGAGGGGTCCTTAGTTGAGAAGGTGATGTGCCTTGTTTTGCTGGAATGGGTTGTGGTCTTGGGTTTTTGATGGGTTCGGTTTTGTGGGGATTAGCAATGGACATGGTTCCAGTTTTTTCCTAATATTGTTTTCATTTCTTTTATAAATACTAGCCAGTCATCCAGTCCTAATTTTAGCAGCATTTCAGTGATCATTTTGCATCTATCTGGTTGACTTGCACTTGTAATTCATGACTTTTGCACAATATTAGAGTAGAATATATTTTTGGTTTGGGTTTTTGACTATCTTCCCTACCTCTGGGAATGGTAAGTTTTTCGTGCTCTTCACATCTATAATTTACTTTTCTTTCCCTCATATTTCATATGCTTATGCATTTGCCATGGAATCTCCATGACAGCACATTCAGTTGCTCTGTCACATTCTCTAACAGAGTAGTTGGAGTCTTTTAGCCCCCATTTCTAGCATTGTGCTTAGAATATTGCTGCCACATATGGTCCAGTGCCCCTGCTATTTATTTAGAGAGTCTTGATAAAATCTAAAGGAGAATCAGCAATATTATTGGTCCTGATTGTAGTTTTCAGGAAAGCAACTCAACATATTCCATAAGCACATCAGCAGTAGTCCAGGCAAAATGGAAGCCATATTGTTTGTCATAGAGAAGGTCATGAGAGGTAAGATGATTAAGCACTTCAGCATTGATTACAAAGCCTTGAATAAATTGCTGAAAAGTGATAGGAGACTAATAGGGCAGTAGTTGGAGGGGTTGGAAGGTTTTCCAGAGTTCTTAAAAACAGGAACTACAGAGGAGGGCTTCCAACAAACTGGAAATCAGTAAGTAACAAGGCAGTAGTTGTAGATTTTGGCGAGAACTGGGGCCACCTCAGGACCACATTTCTTTAGGATGACAGCTAGGATCCCGTCACCTCCACTTGCCTTATGGAAGTCTAATTTAGAAACAATGTCCAAGACCAGTAACGGGGTTATGCACATACCACTTAGTAGAGCCTCAATTCTAGGGAGGAAATGAGCCAAGTGTCAAGATGGAAGAGAATGTTTACAGACACAACTGCATGATCAGAGTTGTCAAGAGAGCAGAGCTGCATAGGTAAGTAAAAAAAGAGATCAAGAAGAGAAGCGTGCCCATCAGGGTACTGGGGAAACATGTGGAGAACTCAACCACTTGCACGAAAGGCGTTAAGGTTTTGGGTACCAGTGAGGTCAGTGACAGAGTGTTTAAGCCACCTGGTATGGTAGACATTAAAATCATCAAACAGAAAAAGAAAGGTTAAGAGGTTTAGATGTTTTTTGTTGAGGTGGTTTAGGTTTATATCTTTCTTTGTTTATAGTCACGTGTTATTTTGGTAAGGAATGGCCTAGGGTAGTAATAGCAGTTGGTCATCTAATGTAACATGTGCAGGAAAGGAACTGGCACAGACTGCAACATAGTATGGCCACCAGAGGTGCTTGACAAGACACCCTTCCATGCACGACATGGCACTGCAAGAACCCCAATATTATGCAACTGGGGATCGGAGAAGCCTCTCAAGACACTACAAATGAGTTCGGGCTCCTAACTACCAGTTGGGAACAGCAACCAGAAAACTGCCAACCCAGTACCCTCAGCATGAAGAGACATAGCCACCATCCATGCATATCACAACAAAATCATGACAGCACTACTATTAAAGGCCAGGGAAAAGTCAAGGAACCAGGAACTCCTTCCTAAACAGGAAACAGGTGATGAGCCACTACTACTACTACTTTCAAGAGAAGTGGGAGGAGTATGGACCGGGCAATAGAGAGCCTATCTACTACTAAAAAAAACTCTTCTATTGTTCTCACTCCTTCATAATGTTTCTATTTTCTAATTCTTTCACTCTCAATAAACCCATGTATGTTAGTGGCTTTACTGCCTTGCTTGGGAAAAATTCCATTAATAAAAAAACTATTATGATTTCTTTTGATACTTTCAAAGTGTGCTGAAGGTAACTATATACAGGTTTGCTGGTGTTCATTTTTTATGCTTAGTCTTCTAAGGTCAATAACCCCTTGACTTCTGAGATTTATTTTCAACTAATCCAGTGTGCAAAGGGATAGTTTAAGGCTTTTCACTATGTTCTTGCTTGTGTTTAGAGTTTGTTGGGGATAGCTTTTTATTTTTATGCAGTGAAATGTCAATCTTTGACAATGTCTTCACTTGCTTTTCCTTTTTGTTTTCCCACCCGACCCCTCTTTCTTCACTTCAACTAAAATATTTCTATTTTTTGCTTTTTTTTTTTTAAACTATCTTAGGAGGCAATCTAGAGGATATAAATTTTACTCTAATGAATGGTTACAGTTTAGAGAGAAGAGTAACCCACCCCCTAACTGATACAAGCACCAGAAAACTCAAGAATCCAGGCAAGCCTTGTTAATTTTCATTATCTAAATGTCAACATATAGCAGTTAGCATGGTTTATTATATGCCATATTTTTCTTCAATAACCTTTGTCCATGATCAACACCCGCCTCAGAACCATATATTAGGAAATGTGAAGTGGGAGGGGGAGGGCCTATTCACTTTGACATCACAGAGATACACAAACAATATACTTGTGCTTGAAAGAAACTGAGCACTTATAAATCATTAGTTACACTACATAAATTTTTGTGCAACATCAAAATTGAGTTTTTTAACTGATCATATATATATATATATATATATATATATATATATATATAAAAAAAATAGTTGGGTACTAATTTCTTAATTACACACAGTTAACCTGTGGTTTACACTGTATCTCTGCTGAATGAACCCAAGTTACTGTTTTGCAGAGGGAGAGCAAAGAGTCTGGTATGATTACTAGTTGATACAAGGCAAATATATATTCAAACCCTCAGTGACAATGACTTGTTACTTCATGCCAGCACAAACACTGAGTAGCTAAAACAGTTTGGAAGCTGTCAATTTCACTGATAGGGTTTATGTCAACCTGTAATATGATTTTCACCTACTTCACAACAGTACAACATGCTGGCATCATTAACCAAGGCCAATATTATATAAGAGCATATATCAACACTTTTATATATAAATTTCCATAAATTATAGTATTCATGTAAAAATTAACAATTAGTCTATTGTGGTTTTAAAGCTTGTCCTTTTTCAGAATTAACTTGTAATATTTGATATTTTTAGCATATAATATTTACTGTAAATACTCTATCATCACTTTCATTTGTTTTAAATTGGCTATAAATGCTGCATACAAACAAACTTTTGTACATAAATAACTAATAATCCCCCTGATTAAATGATTCACAGGACAATGTTAATCTCTTTTGAGATTTTCTTTCTCCCCTAATGTGCATCAATGATTAAATCTGCTTAAGCAGCAAATTTGGCAATCTTAATAAATAAATAAAAAGCTTCCTTGGAAGCCAGCCATATTGAAGAGGGAAAACAAACATTTGTGGTGGTCACAGTTCAATATTTGTAAGATGAGTTTAAATGAAGAGCTTCATTGCTCTATGTACACAAATTTGGAAACCAATTTCCTATTGAGTCAAATACTAGATTGATCTCTCATTTTATGTACAAAATTATTGTAGTCGGTATATTTCAGATATGAAATTGGTATTAAGACTAATACCCTCTTTGTTTTTGTCTATATAAAAGATGACATTAAAAAAGATTTTTTAGCATCAAGGAGAGTGGCATTGGTGTGCTATGAAAGGTTTAAATAAACTACTTTAGGTTTGCAAGTTTTGATATTTTTCTGAGATAAAAGATTAATAGCATTTGTACATTTATTTAAACAAGCATTATACCTCATATTAGCATAAGTATATGATCAGATTATTTTATGGAAAAGTCTTCATTCAGAACACGCAGCTCATTTAGTGTAATAAATTTTTTTGGCTAATACTCTATTTCTTTTTTCAGACATTAAATGATAAATTTCATAATCAGCAAAAAAATGGAAAAAAATCTTTTAATAATAAAAATATCAACACTCTTACAGAGAACATGAATTACAAATAATACAAACAACAAACAAATACACAAATACTAAAACATTATTTAACCATTTAAATTTTTCTACAATAACTTTTTTATATCAAATATTTTAAATAAATCAGGATCATTTTTAGATTTATTGGTTCATTATTTGTATTAGAAAAATAAAGAAAACTTCTTTATGTCATTAGACCCAAATTGATCCATTCATTTTATGCAAACCCAGGTAAAATGCAATACCAATCAAGTTGCATTTATGCTCTTTTGAACAACACTCCCATGTAACTTAATATCTTTTTTTGTCATTTACAGTGGAGCAGTTATATTTTGAATTGCTCAGTCATAAAGTGGCTCTGGTTCTTTGCTTTATGTTTATCAGAAAATATTGTTATTTAGTTTTATTTAAAAATTTAATATTGCTTTCTTTGTTCTTTGTATATTTCAAGTACATAAATTCAATTGGAGAATTAAACATTGCAACCTTTACAAATAAATTTGATCTCCGATTATCTTCAGATGACAACTTAATGTTATCTTTGTTATATAATTGTAAGTCTAATGGACATCCGAGATGAAAAGTTCACAATATCTTTCAGCTTTATTTACATATTTTTTTTAATGAAATATACAAAATAAACAAGTTGGATAATGTTACAGAAAAATAAAAAAAAAAATGAAATTCAAATCTGATTTGCTTAAGTTTTATAATATAAAATTTAAAAAAATAAAAAAACTTAAATTCAGGAAAGAGGTGATTAAGTCTTCATAAACCCATGTAATGTTTAGCTGTATATTCCTTTGTTATATTCACAACAATTAAAAGGATCTTGTAATTCACAACAAATTTGTTTTCAAAATTTAGAAGGTAATTTTTAAAGTTCTTTCTTGCAACATTTCATGAAATCTGAGATTGCAATGCCATCTAGAAAAGCAGCCAAAGTTCCATGATATGAGATACAATTACAGATGTGCTAAATTCATGCAAGTTTAATTGCAAGTTTTCAAGAATGTATCAGCTATAAAGTGTTGTGACAAAAAGCAACAGAAAAGATAGTAATCTAAAAATCTCTGACGTGAAAATGCTTGCAAATTACTTCTTAATTTAGAGGCTCATAAATATCAACTCATCAATTTAGAGAAATTAAGTCTAAACAAGAACCCCAAACCTTTTAAAACTTTCACATACTATTAACTTCTTTTCAAAACAAGGTTAACTTTATGGGCTTTAAAAACAAAAGGTTTAACCTTTAATTAAAAAGCTTAGAATAGATGACAAGCAAGGTGGTTTCAATCAATTAGCTCTTTAAATAATGGTGGGAGATGAGGTGTAGATGTTTAGAAAAAAAAAAGTCTTTCCATTGAATAAATGTTCAATTTACTTACACAACCATTATGAACCTCAAGTTTCCTTTCCAATTTAAGTCGTTGTATAAAGTCCAAGTTGCCTGAAGTGAAAAGAAATAAAGAAACATTAAATGTACAATAGCGGCAATCATATTACTATTGTCAGTGTTTTTCTTCATTACAACCAAATATCTTTATAATCTTTAATCAGTCCTACTATTTACTCAAATTTGTAATAAGTGAAAGATGATTTAAATCCTTATGCCAAAATTAAATATGTCTATGCTGCTGACAGATATACCCAGTCAATGAATTACTAATTTTTTTAAAATTGAAAATATATGTGGGCATCCATCAGTCTGGAGAGACCATGGATCTGTGCCCAAAGAGTTATGTCTCAGCTTCTGATCATCAGTCATGTTTGTACAGGCCCACATGGGAGTGACAGTCTCAATTGCAATGAATTCATGTGAAAACTCTCTCGCCTGATGTTACCATATTGTTTTCTTTCCTTCAAGCACACTTCTCCTTGGTAGCAAGTCTCCATTTCTTCTCTCCTCACTCCAGCCCTTGGTGTAAATCACATCTCCAGTATAAGTGACTGTTAGTGACTTCTTCCCACCTCTTGGTGTCCATCATCCTCATGTCCCTTTGGCAGACATCTGTAAAGCAAAAATGAGATCACCCTTTTTACAGTGGCCAATTCCATGTAAAAAAGGACCTTCAGAATCCTCCCATTAACTGTTGTTTCCCATGTTTTGCAGTCACATGGGAGTGCTCGCTGCAGGGTACAGGCCCGGGCAGGGGTCATTCCATATCAATTCACCAGGGCATTACACCCACCAACACCGAATTACTTAAAATTTGGCACAAATGTTCCCCTTCATGAGTTAGGAAAGGGTGCCAAATTATTTTGTGCTAGACTTTACTGTTCCAATTTTAAGCGGGGGGTGTATAATTTTCCTATTTTGCCTCTAAATTAAGGCTGCGCAACGTCGCCGAATTTCAGTGTTTTTTAAAAATTAAAGAAAAATACTTCCATACCTTCAATATTTCTGAAATTTGGTATGTAAGGCAAAATAAAGTGTAGAATCCAAATATTTAACTATTTCAAGCCTAGACTTGATAGAAAATTTTATTTTGCTCATCCTAATAAATGACCCCAAAATCAACAACTTTTCACCTATGTAGCTTACGGTCAGTCTATCAAAAATATGTCCTCTTCAATTTTCATAATATTTTTTGCCTAACATCTACAATGCCTGCTTAAGTTCATCAAAAAAAATTTTGTGAGGGTTTCATGTCTACTTTAGAAGATATGACCCTGCCAAGTTTAGAGTTTTTTCCTACGTATGTGCAGGCTTTCGAGAAAGATTATAATTAAAGACAATCATCCTAATGCTCCATGACATTTAAAATGTTGATATTGTGCTAAGTAACTTCTTAAACTATTCAATAAGATTGTTTTTATTAATTTAAAAAAAAAAATTATCTAAATATATTTTGCAGATATTACTTTTTGTACAGATAAGATTGTTTTTAAAGAGCGGTAAACATTGCCTCATGTATGATAATCAGCAGTGCATAGAAAATTTGTAAATGGCACTTAACAAATGGAGTTAAAAGAAATTCTTTCTGTTAGTGTTTCTTTTAATTTTATTTTGGTAAATTATTTTCATGAAACAAAAAAACATTTGATTTTTTTTTCATTCTCAAAAAAGTCATAAGATAAATGTGAATCTTTAAAACATAATATTTGTAGTTGGCACTTAACATATTTATATAGTTGAAGGAAATGCTTTCATTACTTTTTTTAAATTTTCATTTTTTTAAATAATTTTTCAAAATGATTTTCATGAAACATAAATATTTTTTTATGACACCATGGAAAGATATATTGATAATGCTGAATCAATAGAGTTCTCCCAATTAACAACAACTGACTGATCGACTTTGACAACACAAAAGGAATCCTGTCAAGCTTACATTGATTTAGTTGTTTTGCAACTGAATAAATTAGCACCTCATTCTTACTTGGCTAAATCACAATCAAGGTAATTAAAGCAAAGAAAAGGAGATTAGTGATAGTGAAATTTTGTTACTGGGAGATTTTGCTGAGAACTACAAATTTATAGTTCAAGATGAGATCCAGAGTTATCATTGGAATACTTCACAATGTACTTTACATCCAGTGGTACTCTACTTTAAGCTTGAAAATGCAATGCAAAGTGAATGTTTCTGCATTGTTGAGTGACAACTCACATGATGTAGCATTTGTTTATATGGTACAAAAAAAAATTATTGAGGTAATCAAAGCTACCTTGCCAAACATAAAAAAAATATTGAGTATTTTACTGATGGTTGTGCAGCATAATACAGAATTATAAGAACTTTGCCAATTTGTGCAACCATCAGAAAGATTTTGGGCTCAATGCAAAATGGAATTTCTTTGCAACAAGTCATGGTAAACAACCGTGTGATGGCATAGGTGGGACAGTGAAAAGGATAGTGTCAAAAGAAAGTCTCCGAAGACCAACTACCAAACAAATCCTTTCCACAGAATCTATGTTTGAATATTGTAAATCTGCAATTGTAGGTATCAAATTCATTCTGGTTGAAAAGGAAGAAGTTGAGGAAGTGAGGAGGAATCTGACCATGAGATTCGAAAATGCATCCACAGTCCCAGGAACAAAGTTTTCATCAATTTATTCCACTCACCAGAGATAAAATAGCTATGAAACAATGTAGTGAAAATGAAAACTATTACCTAATATATGACTTTTCTATTGGGACTGAAGAAAAACCAGTAAATTCTTTTGTTTCAGGATATGTTTGTTGCAAGTGCGACAATAAGATTTGGATTGGCATGGTCCAGGAAATTGATATGGAGAATAAAGACTTGCTGATTAAGTCCATGCACCCAGCTCTTCCATAACATTCATTTTACTGGAAAGAAGATTTTAAGGATATATGTTTTGTACCATTAATGAATATTCTGTGCACTGTTGATGTTCCTACAACAATAAATGGTAGAGTTTATCATTTGTGCAAGATGGATAAATTATCTTTGCAAAAAATTATATCCAAAACAATTTAGTCTATATGCACAACAAAATTTAGTGCATAGTGTAGTTTAAATGTAATCTTTTAAAGACTCTTTGTATATTCATTTTTATTATGATTTTCTTCTGAATGAAACAAAATTCAAATATTTATGTTTCATGAAAATCATTTTGAAAAAAAATTTAAAAAAATGAAAATTTAAAAAAAGTAATGAAAGCATTTCCTTCAACTATATAAATATGTTAAGTGCCAACTACAAATATTGTGTTTTAAAGATTCACATTTATCTTATGACTTTTTTGAGAATGAAAAAAAAATCAAATGTTTTTTTGTTTCATGAAAATAATTTACCAAAATAAAATTAAAAGAAACACTAACAGAAAGAATTTCTTTTAACTCCATTTGTTAAGTGCCATTTACAAATTTTCTATGCACTGCTGATTATCATACATGAGGCAATGTTTACCGCTCTTTAAAAACAATCTTATCTGTACAAAAAGTAATATCTGCAAAATATATTTAGATAATTTTTTTTTTTAAATTAATAAAAACAATCTTATTGAATAGTTTAAGAAGTTACTTAGCACAATATCAACATTTTAAATGTCATGGAGCATTAGGATGATTGTCTTTAATTATAATCTTTCTCGGAAAGCCTGCACATACGTAGGAAAAAACTCTAAACTTGGCAGGGTCATATCTTCTAAAGTAGACATGAAACCCTCACAAAATTTTTTGATGAACTTAAGCAGGCATTGTAGATGTTAGGCAAAAAATATTATGAAAATTGAAGAGGACATATTTTTGATAGACTGACCGTAAGCTACATAGGTGAAAAGTTGTTGATTTTGGGGTCATTTATTAGGATGAGCAAAATAAAATTTTCTATCAAGTCTAGGCTTGAAATAGTTAAATATTTGGATTCTACACTTCTTATTTGCCTTACATACCAAATTTCAGAAATATTGAAGGTATGGAAGTATTTTTTTTTAATTTTAAAAACACTGAAATTTAATGACGACGTTCGCAGCCTTAATTTAGAGGCAAAATAGGAAAATTATACACCCCCGCTTAAAATTGGAACAGTAATGTCTAGCACAAAATAATTTGGCACCCTTTCCTAACTCATGAAGGGGAACATTTGTGCCAAATTTCAAGTAATTCGGTTTCGGTGGGTGCAGATTTCAACTTTTTGCTGGTGTTTTGACATGGAATGACCCGCAGGGTTTTATGAGATATTGGCAATTGCCCATGGTATATTTCCTGTCTATGCCACCAATGTTGTCCAAAGAAAAGGTAGAGTCAGTATAGCTTGGCACCAGAACAGGAGTTGCCAGAACAAAGTTGGACATAACATCAGACGGTCATAGGAACTGTGATTTCAGATTTGTTCTCAGGGTTTACTTCTCATGATTGGGTATGGCCTCAAAGCAGCAGAAGTTTAAAATCAGATTTTTCCTTCTCTAAATATAGATTAAAAAATACTTAAATATTTTCATACAACATTAAGTAGAAATGCAAAGAAAATAAAAATAAATAAAAAGGTGGTAGTAGCATTTTCTCCAAACTATTTTCTTTTGAATCAGAAGTGTTGCAGTTCAAAATGTCAAAAGAAAAGAAAAAAAAAATATTATGATTCTGCTTGTTCCTCTGTTAATTTAACACATGTGCTTTGCCCTGCCATTACCTCAGATAAATAATGAACCATTACATTTTAATTGCAAGGAAAAACAGAAGAAAAATATATTAGAGATGCTGTTTGGTTTTAGTGAGAAAAGGAATGCATACATAAAGCAATTGAAGTTGATAACACTCATATACTTAATGTCTGCTTCAGTGAAATGGAAAATCTTGCCAATTATGAATGCTTTCACTTGAATCCTCTTACTTCTTTAAATAATGACTTGCATTTGTATTTATTGTAATATTTGGTTAAAGTTGTTAAGCTCAAACATTTAACAGTGCAATAGGGAAATTTTCATGGATCTTTTTTCTTGTTAAAATTGCAATGAGCAATCTTTAACTTAAATAATTCAAA